GAAATGGATGCAATAGGAAATATTTGGTTTTATAGACATTCTCTTGACAAAAGGACACTGCAATTTCAGTAGCTATTTATGAATCTTTGCAGATGCTATTTTTAATTTACATCAGCAAAAGTAATGGCACAAATTTAAAGCCAGAGAGATAAAACATTTCAGTTATCTGCACAGCAAACGAACAACGTTGTACTCTTCTTCAACTTCATGAACATGGAGAATAAACTTGGAGCAAACTGTTCAGGGAAGGTTAATTAAGGTGAACTACTCTGGCAAGACAGATTATGAGCTCTGCACTTCAAGACAGTCATGAGCCTCTGTTCTGAAAATCACAGCAGCATCACACACCATCATATTCTGGTAACAATACTATATATTTCCTATCAAAAAACATGGGGAGCTGTTTTCTACAATGTCAGCCCCAGAGCTCAGAAATAATGCATTAATTTAACATTATGTTAAAATTGTTATGATTTTGCATTAAATAGATTGAAAATCACTGTCCAGAATTTCAAACATGATAATTTCCTAGACATACCCGGAGATATTGGGGATTAGACCTGCGGCCTTTTGCAGCCAAAGAATGGGCTCTACCATTGAGTGATGGTCCTTTCTCAAGATCTTGATCACCATCAAAATGTGATACTCTAGCACAGTCCTTATTAATAGTACTAATATTTTGGTTGCCACCATCATTGGCACAGCAAGAGAGGGGTGGGCAGTTTCAGAATGGCCAGTTCCACCACTCCACCAGTAGGGCAGAGCCATACTTAGCCCGCAAGTCAACCTTCGCCCACCCAGAAGAATAGGAACCATCTGATTACACACAGATCCAAGTACATCTAGTATCATTTAATGATTAAATGGTATAATGAAACTCTCTGCACAGCCACTGTCGATGTCCACAGAACATAATAGCCAGTGTTATCTTTCAGTTTAAATAGCAGATTGTGCTGTGTGATGTGTCTTATCTTTTTCTCTTTCTTTGCATGTCTGCTAAGACATTCTACATTGTTTTGGGGATTAGTGAGTTCTGGCAACAGGGAGGGCAATAAAAAGCCATAGCATTTCATTGTGTCTGTTGTTTCAAGATTTTTTTTAATGGGACTGGACAATTAATCTCACAAATTTCAGTGTATTTGTGATGGAACCAGAAGAGCCTGCTGGAGGTTGAGCCAAAAAGAAAAGCTGGAGAAATTAATTTCTATCTGGGAAAGGGAGGTTGGATTTTAGCAGTGGGCTGTAACTCAATGCACACTTAAGCAGAACTCTGCTTACATATTTTACCAGTTGATATGTTGTAGGCAGGCGTTGCATCACGGCCTCTCCCATTTTGAAGAGACCCTTGTCCAACAGGCCGAGGCAAAGAGGAAGTCACAAAAGCAGCAAAATCAGGGAGCTGGACAGGGGACAGATTGGATTTGTCTTCAGTGTGGAAGGGATTGTCTAGAATTGGCCTCCTCAGCCACACTACAGTCTTGCCCCGCTTTACGATTACCGCATTTAACAACAAATCCGCTTGATGACAATGTTTTTTGATCGTGAAACAATGGTTTGAACGGGGCAAATCCACTTTGTGATGATCGGTTCCCTGCTTCGGGAACCGATTTTCGCTTTACAACGATCAAAAACAGCTGATTGTCGGGTTTCAAAATGGCACCCAAAAATGGCTGCCCCTATGGAGGATCTTCACTGGACGGTGAGTTTTCAGTCCATTGGAACACATTGAACGGTCTTCAATGCATTTCAATGGGCTTTTTAATTTCGCTTTACGACATTTTCGCTCTACAGCGATTTCGATGGAACGAATTAACGTCATTAAGCAAGGCACCACTGTAGATGCTGTTCCAAGTCCTCCATACAGAGCACGTTACCATACTCTTTCGAGACTGAAGGATGTCTAACCTAAATGTTGTAATAAATAACATTTCATATTTTTCATTCTAAAACTGCTTAGGCGCGTATGTTTATGGCTGAAGACATGGCTTTTTAAAGGAAGGGTATTTTAAAGTGGCAAGCCTTGGTAGGGCTGGTCAGAATATTTATGAAAAATAGTCTGCTTCTGCAGGATAAATAAATGGACTATTCATTCCTCTCAGACGATGTCCAATATTGGATTTTTATGAGTACAAGAATAGAACCCAGCATCTCTCTCTGTCTGTCTATACTGTAATACTTTTCTCCACTAAAATCTCTCATCCACTAATCTGCTCCAAAGGACTAGGACAGCATGCTTTTCCCAGCAGAGAAGTACCGGGAAGAGGAAGAGAAGAAACTGCAAATTCTGACAAGGGCCACACTGGATTTAGGCTCCAGTTATTATTTGCAAAACACTATAGTAGCGTCTTGCTATTTAAGCAAAGCGTGCTGCTTATATACCACCCCAACTCTTATGAACTACTGGCCAGCTGGTTAATTTTAACTCAGTGTGCATCAGTAAGTTACACTGAACCTCATTTACTGTTTTGCTGTCTGTTCACCCTATTCTGTAAGATCCTAAAAGTTCTTTTTGAATCGGTCTCCACCATCCTCTAGAAATTACAGTATACAGTATTTGTGTTTCACTTCCTCTGCACCCCTGATTTCACAGAATAGCTGTCTGGGCACCAGGTAAGTGAAACCTGCCTTTATAAATGCATCCCTGATCTCCCATCTTACTTCTCTATTGCAAGCATCTCATTTACTTCTCTTACTCCATGACCGTTAGGCGTCTTCAAGAGACCTTGGGTGTTTCTGTTATAAAAGCAGTCTTGGGTGTTTCTCTGTTATAAAATTGTTATTCGAAGATCTATGTAATACTTTGTCTTATTTTATTAGTTGTCTATGTTATACTGGAAGCTGCCTAGAGTGGTCGTATAGACCAGATGGGCAGGATACAAATCAAATCAAATCAATCAATCAATCAATCTATTTGCACTTACAGCCTTCCCTAATGACTCACCAAATGGAAGTTTGCAGTCTAAAAGGCATCTACAAAATTCCAGGTTCGGGACACCGCGATAAACGCCACCAATTACTTCTATATAGCGTCTAGCAACATAGTTACTTCTACAACGTCTGGCAAAAACAAAAGAAAAAAACACAAACGTGTTGTGCTACCTTAAATATTTTTATATATTAATGTCAACTTTCCTGGACCTTCTTAGTTCACTTCTTGAGACATATGAGGTGTTTCATGTTGACAAAAAAGGGGGGAGGGGAGGCAGAATGTTGCAGCACTTCAAAGACTATCGATTTTATTTCATTGTCCCCTTCCGCAGATCAAAGTCCAAAATTTGGCTTTACAGATGATCCGCTGTTTTTATCTGCTCTCCTGATGAGCGCAAAGTCTGTCTATACTGTAATACTTTTCTCCACTAAAATCTCTCATCCACTAATCTGCTCCAAAGGACTAGGACAGCATGCTTTTCCCAGCAGAGAAGTACCGGGAAGAGGAAGAGAAGAAACTGCAAATTCTGACAAGGGCCACACTGGATTTAGGCTCCAGTTATTATTTGCAAAACACTATAGTAGCGTCTTGCTATTTAAGCAAAGCGTGCTGCTTATATACCACCCCAACTCTTATGAACTACTGGCCAGCTGGTTAATTTTAACTCAGTGTGCATCAGTAAGTTACACTGAACCTCATTTACTGTTTTGCTGTCTGTTCACCCTATTCTGTAAGATCCTAAAAGTTCTTTTTGAATCGGTCTCCACCATCCTCTAGAAATTACAGTATACAGTATTTGTGTTTCACTTCCTCTGCACCCCTGATTTCACAGAATAGCTGTCTGGGCACCAGGTAAGTGAAACCTGCCTTTATAAATGCATCCCTGATTTCCCGTGTTACTTTTCTCTATTGCAAGCATCTCATTTACTTTTCTTACTCCATGACCGTTAGGCGTCTTCAAGAGACCTTGGGTGTTTCTGTTATAAAAGCAGTCTTGGGTGTTTCTCTGTTATAAAATTGTTATTCGAAGATCTATGTAATACTTTGTCTTATTTTATTAGTTGTCTATGTTATACTGGAAGCTGCCTAGAGTGGTCGTATAGACCAGATGGGCAGGATACAAATCAAATCAAATCAATCAATCAATCAATCTATTTGCACTTACAGCCTTCCCTAATGACTCACCAAATGGAAGTTTGCAGTCTAAAAGGCATCTACAAAATTCCAGGTTCGGGACACCGCGATAAACGCCACCAATTACTTCTATATAGCGTCTAGCAACATAGTTACTTCTACAACGTCTGGCAAAAACAAAAGAAAAAAACACAAACGTGTTGTGCTACCTTAAATATTTTTATATATTAATGTCAACTTTCCTGGACCTTCTTAGTTCACTTCTTGAGACATATGAGGTGTTTCATGTTGACAAAAAAGGGGGGAGGGGAGGCAGAATGTTGCAGCACTTCAAAGACTATCGATTTTATTTCATTGTCCCCTTCCGCAGATCGAAGTCCAAAATTTGGCTTTATAGATGATCCGCTGTTTTTATCTGCTCTCCTGATGGGCGCAAAGCACTCCAGTGGTTTTTTTCCCCCCAGACCACAACTCCCACAAATCCGTTATTGCT